AAAGGACCACTCCAAAAAAAAAAAAAGAGATACTGAATTGTTTAGTTAGTGAACTCTAAGAATTTTCAGATGAGCAAAATGAAACTTTGGGGTACATTTACACCCCCTTTGGGTATTTTTAAAGGCTAGTACAGTTTTTATTTTTTTAAATAATTATTTATTATTATTTTTAATTTAGGCAAAGTGTTATTATTAATTACCTTCATGGGGCCAGCAGATGGTATAGCAGTTACATTGCTGGACTCCCACAAGGCTGACCACGGTTTGAGTCCTGAATCTGGTGGTGTGAAAATCACACTGGATGCATGTGTGTGCATGCCCATGATCCCAAGAGGAGAATGGAGAGAAGGGGTGACATGCCCATCCCCCTGGGAGATAATTTCTCACTTTCCCTCTCACTGTCTCTCTCTCTCTTTCTCAGGCAAGTTCATGCACCCTAAGGCAAAAACCTCTAAGCAACCTTCACATGATCATTAAAGAAATCAATTTTTGTTTCCTTCTTTTTTTGGAGAGGTTTTTGCTATAGGGCGCGTGCATTAGCCAGACAGACAGAGAGAGACAGAGAGACAGAAAGCAAGAAATCACCCCCCAGGGGGGATGACCATGCCGCAATCCCTTTTTCACTTCTTCTCTCGGGATCTTGGGCACACATGCACACGCACCCGGCATGAGTTTTAAACCACCAGGTCTGGGACTCGAACCATGGTCGACTATGTGGGAGTCCAGCGACATAGCCATTACGCTGCTAGTCCAAGAAATCATTAATTTTTTAAGAGATATTTTGCTATAAGGTGTGTGTGCTTGCCAGAGAGACAGAGACAGAAAATGAGAAATCAACCCCTATGGGGGATGGCCACACTGCAGTCCCTTCTCCTCCATTCTCCTCTCAAGATCTTGGACATGCACTGACACGCACTGGGTGAGAATTTTAAGCTGCAGGGTCCAGGACTCAAACTGTGGTTGTCTATGTGGGAGTCCAGCAATGTAACCTTTACGCCATCTGCTGGTCCCCAAGAAATCATTAATATTGAAGATATCAGTATTCCAATTGAATTATATAGAAAACCATAAGATTTCATAGTTTTAAGTGGGCATCTTAAGCTCTGTAAAAATGGTTAACATTTCTCAATAAATGTCAATTTGACTCAAAAGTTATTAAACTACTTACTGTATATAAGATTTGAACTAGAAAATGACAAAAGATAGATGACAAATTGGGGAAAACATTCTTATTATCTGTGTTGGTTAATTCTGTGTGTCAATTTTTTGTTGTTGTTGCAGTGTAAAGTGAGAAATTTACTAATTCTTTGGACATTCTCATACATTTACTAGAGGTAAATACATACAGGTACAGCACTAACTTCACTGTGAATAAACAAAAACAAAAGAAATCCATTAGATTGGAATTAGCATTGGAAGGTCTTGGTTCTTATTCAGATCAATTACTTAATGATTGACTTTAGAAGAGGTTTTTTTTTAGGGTTTTTTTTTTTTTTTTTTTTGCCATAGAGTACATGCATACACCAGAAAGACAGAGAGAGAGAGAGAAATAACGCCCTAGCGGGATGACCACACTGTAATCCCTTCTTCTCCATTCTCCACCTGGGGAATTAGGCATTCATGCATGTGTGACTGGCATGATTCAGGGTCTGGGACTTGAACCGCAGTTGGACATGTGAGAGTCCTATGCCTTAACCACCACATCACCTGCTGGCCCCAACTTTAGAACAGTTTTTTAAAATTTAACTTTATTTATTTATTTATTTTAATTTGACCAGAAAGGAACAGGGAGAGAGAGAGAGAAAGAAAGCAAGAAAGCAAGTCACTGGGTCCAGGAATTGAACTGTGGTTGGACATGTTGGAGTCCAGTGCCCCCAACCACCACGTCATCTGCTGGCCCCTAGGAGAGTTAATTTTACATATATATAAATTATTTACATTTAATCACTATATATTGTTACAGTGTACAACATGGTTTTCCCAGTATTATTATCATTTTAAAAATTTGCTATAGAGCATATGCACTCACCAGAGAAACAGAAAGATTAAGAAAACAAGATGCCAGGTCTGGGACTTGAACCACAGTCAGTCATGTGGGAATCTAGTGCCTTTAACCACCATGCCACATGCTGCCCTTTGCTTTTTTTTTTTTTTTTTTTTTTTAAGAGGGGTTTTTGTTTATGGGGGCATATTTTTTCATGCTTGCCAGAAAGACAGAGAGACAGGAAGAGAGAAATGATCTTTCGGGGCGAATGGCCACACTGCATCCCTTCTCCTCCATTCTCCTCTTGGGTTCTTGGGCACACACACACATGTACCCAGCATGAGTTTAAGTCATCAAGTCAAAGACTCAAACTGTGGTCAACTACATGGCAGTCCAGAGACGTAACCATTATGCCATCTGCTGGTCCCAATTTATTTATTTACTTTAATTTGACCAGAGAGGAACAGAGTGAGAGAGAGACAGAGAGAGGGAAGGTGAGAAAGCAAGTTGCCAGGTCCGGGACTCGAACCATGGTCGGCCATGTTGGAATCCAGCACACTTAACCACCACACCACCTGCCGGCCCCTAATTTTAAAATTTGGTACAAGACATACATTTTCACCAGAGAAACAAAGATAGAGGAGAGAGAGAGAAAGTGAGAAAGCAAACCCCCAGGTTTGGGACCCAAAGCACTGTCCATTATGTGGGCATCTAGAGCTTTAACTACCACACTACCTGCTGGCCCTTGAGGCTTATTTTTAAAAAATTAACAAATCGGGACCAGCAGTTAGTGTAATGGCTTTGTCGCTGGACTCTCACATAGTCGACCGCGATTTGAGTCCAGGACCCGGTGGCTTAAACTCACGGCGGGCGCGTGTGCGTGCGTGCTCAAGATCCGAGGAGAATGGAGGAGAAGGGATTGTGGCGTGGCCATCCCCCTTGGGGGGGGTGATTTCTCGCTTTCTATCTCTCTGTCTGTCTCTGTCTGTCTGGTGAGCGCAAAAACCTCTCAAAAAAAAAATTAACAAATTAAACAACAAACAAGGAAAATAAATGATCCAAGTCTCCCAACTGGGATCCAGAGTTGAGCTCCTTGTTAAGTAAATAACATTAGGTTCAAACCAAGGGGTTCCTCTGGCCTTGGTTTTCAGGTGAGTTAGGAAGGTGAGGTATAGTCTGACTCATCTGCATTTCTATCTAGGGGTACCCACTGCTGTCTTGCTTCCTTGATGTTTCCAAAACTTGGGGTCCCTTTCTTTTCACCTGAAGGGTGGAGGAAAGTCAAGAAATATAGTTGGGACCCTCATCAACAATGGGAACATTTCATAGGACACTCCATTTCAATTCCAATATTCCTACCTAGTCCATAAATTAAATCCACTGGAATCTGAAAAGAAACAGTTGTAAGTGCAAAAGATTTGGAATATTACATTTTTTAAAAAAATTAGGAAAACTCTTTTTTCCTACTTGTTCCCCTATGTCCAGGCATAGGACCCGGTAGATGTACTGGTTCTGTTTTCTCTTAGCTGGCATCCGGATTTGTGTTATTCCAATTTTCTCCATCTTCTCCATGCTTAATTCCAGAAAAAACCGGGAAGGCTCCAAGACCCATGGGCGAGGACCCCCTTCAAATACCATTTCCTTCACAGACCGCCATGTCACCAATGCCACTTCCACAGGGTTTAGTGCCTGTTAACATTTAAAGAAATTAATTCCTGATTGGTTAGGGCATTCAACCATTTTCTTTTCTTTTTAAATTTTCTATAAAGTACATGTACTTGCCAGAGAGAGAGGGAAAATGAGAAATTACCCCAGGGGGGTCGCCCCACCACAATCCCTTGTCTATTCTTCTCTCAGGATTTTGGGCATGCGTGCACACATACCCAGTGTATTTTTCAAGCCACTGGGTCTGGGACTCGATCCACAGTTAGCCATGCAGGATTCAGACACCTTACCCACCACACCACTGGCTGGCTCCAGCATGTGGCTATTTTATAAAATTTTATTTATTTACTTTTGGAGAAGTTTTTTTGTTTTTTTGGTTTTGTTTGTTTTTTTTTGAGAGGTTTTTGCTATAGGGTGCTTGCACTCACCAGAAAGACAGAGAGAGACAGAGAGATAGAAAGCGAGAAATTACCCCCCAGGGGGGATGGTCACACTGCAATCCCTTTTCCTCCATTCTCTTCTCGGGATCTTGGAAACACACGCACTCATGTCCAGCGTGAGTTTAAGATACCGGGTCCGGGACTTGAACCGTGGTCGACTACATGAGAGTATAGCAACATAGCCATTACGTCAACTGCCGGTCTCGAATATGGCCATTTTAAAGCCAAGTTATCTGAATATGCTAAAAATGGAGTTAGACTGAACACCAAAGAGATATATATGTCATTCTTCACAATTGGAACGCTTCTTAACCTATGCATTAATTTAGAACCCACCTCTTATTCAAGTCTAACTGATGTGTCGCTTATACATTAATTCACGTGCAGTTGTTCCAGACCACAACCACTTCTGTATCACCTACACCCTTACAGTATTGATGTCTACCACTTATGTGTACATTGGTCATCTACTAAAGCTATTTAAATGGGTCAAGTGCCATATATAAGTAATAATTCTTGTTGTATTCTCTAGTTATGAAAACTTTTTTTAAGAATTATTTTATTTAACTTTATTTTATTTTTATTCATTTATTTTAATTTGACCAGAGAGGGGCAGAGGGAGAGAGACAGTGAGAAAGTGAAAAAGCAAGCCACCAGGTCTGAGACTTGAACTGCAGTCGGCTGTGTGGGAGTCCTGTGCCCTTAACCATCATGCCACCTGCCAGCCCCATGAACACTTCTTAAGTCCCCGACATCTCCAGTAGTGTTTGGGAACCAGCAGTTAGCGTAATGGCTATGTCGCTGGACTCCCACGTAGTCGACCGCGGTTCGCGTCCCGGACCCGGTGGCTTAAAAACTCACGCTGGGCACGTGTGCGTGCGTGCCCAAGATCCCCGAGAGGAGAATGGAGGAGAAGGGATTGTGGCGTGACCATCCCCCCTGGGGGTGATTTCTCGCTTTCTGTCTCTATGTCTCTGTCTGTCTGGCGAGTGCATGCGCCCTATAGTGAAAAAAAAAAAACTTCTTAAGTTTTTTTTTTTTTGAAGAAGTTTTTTGCCTTAAGACATCTGCACTCACTAGGGAGAGAAAGAGACAAACAGTGAGAGGGAAAATGGAAACTCTCCACCCAGGAGATGACCATCCTGCAATCCTTTCTTCTCCATTCTCCTCTCAGGATCTTGGGTATACACACACACACGCCCAGCATGATTTCTAAGCTGTCAGATCCAGGAAGCCACTGGGTTCGGTATTTGAACTACAGTTGACCATGTGGGAGTTCAGCAATGTAACTGCTCTGCCCTCTGATGGGCTTTGCAGAGTCTTACACCTAATTTTTTTTTTTTTTGAGAGGTTTTTGCTATAGGGCGCGTGCACTCACCAGAAAGACAGAGAGAGACAGAGAGACAGAAAGTGAGAAATCACCCCCAGGGGGGATGGCCATGCTGCAATCCCTTCTCCTCCATTCTCCTCTAGGGATCTTGGGCATACATGCACATGCGCCCAGCATGAGTTTAAGTCACCGGGTCCAGGACTCGAACTGCGGTTGACTACATGGGAGTCCAGTGCCATAGCCATTACTCCAACTGCTGGTCCCATTACACCTAATTTATTTTTAGAATTTCTCTTCCTTGGGACTACTAGATGGCATAATGGTTATGTCACTGGATTTCTCCAAGGTTGACTGTGGTTCCAGTCCTGAACCTAAAGGATTAAAACTCAGGCCAGGTGCATATGCGTGCAAGCCCAAAATCCTGAGAGAAGAACGTTAGAGAAGGGATTGCTGTGTGACCATCCTCTCTGGGACGGGGGGTGTGATTTCTCGCTTTCTGTCAGTCTGTCTGTCTCTGTCTCTCTGGTGAGCACACGTGCCCCATAGCAAAAATCTCTTTAAAAAAAATCTCTTCCTCAGTGAGATTTATTAGTGTTGGGCACCTAAAAGGTATTGTATAAATAGCTGCATACACATTTAAAATAAATATTTCACTGACATTTTAAAGAACTTCTGCCCTGGGGCCGGCAGGTGGCCTGGAGGTTAAGGGCGCTTGACTCCCACTTGGCCGATCACGGTTCGAGTCCTGGACCTGGTGGCTTGCTTTCTCACTTTCTCTCTCTCCTCATTCTTTCCCTCTCTAGTCAAATTAAAAATAAATAAATAAATAAAGTTAAATTTAAAAAAATTAAAAAAATAAAAAAAGAACTTCTGCCCTAAAAATATAAAAATAATATATCCATATAATTCATAGTAGTTTTCAAAGAACTTTCTAACCTAAGAGGCAGACAATATAGGTATTATTTACTCCAGCATACAAAGGACTTGCATCCCATTTCCGGTATAGATGAGGAAGCTGGCATTAGGCGAACGAAGTATTCTCAAAGTGTAGGTTATTTTTGTGTAGCACACAGTGTGTACGACAGTGACTAAGCCATAAAATGAAGTAGATTGATGACGCATTCTTTTTTTTCCCTATCTCCTCTCCTTCCTCTTCTTCTTTCTTTTTTCTTCTTTCTCTTCCTCTTCTTCTTCTTCCTCTTCTTCCTCTTCTTCTTTTTAGGTTTTTGCCATAGCAAGATGGCCACACTACAATCCCTTTTCTTCCATTCTCCTCTTGGAATCTTGGGCACAGGCACCTGGCATGATTTTCAAGCCACCAGGTCCAGGACTCGAACTGTGGTTGAACATGTGGTAGTTCAGTGCCTTAACCAGAATATATATGCTGCACACCGTGCAATATAGATAATTTTAAATGCAAATTTTTAGGACCAGCAGTTGGCGTAATGGCTATGTTGCTGGACTCCCATTTAGTCGACCACGGTTCAAGTCCAGGACCTGGTGGCTTAAACTCATACTGGGCATGTGTGCATGCGTGCCCAAGATCCCAAGAGGACAATGAAGGAAAAGGGATTGCGGCGTGGCCATCTCCCCTGGGGGTGATTTCTTGCTTTCTGTCTCTCTCTATCCTTCTGGCAAGTGCACATATCCAATGGCAAAAACCTCATCCCCCCCAAAAAATAATAACTTAACCTTTGTTTTTATTTATTTTTATTTTAAGAGATTTTGCTATAGGGCACATCTGCTTGCCAGACAGACAGAAAGTGAGAAATCAACCACAAGGAGGGATGACCATGCCGCAATCCCTATTCCTCCCTGCTCCTTTTGGGATTTCGGGCATGAACACACAAGCCTTAGTATTAACTTTTTTTCTCTGGATAGGGCTTCTTATCTAAAGAGATATTGATTCACAGGACCAGCAGTTGGTGTAATGCCTATGTTGCTGGACTCCTATGTGGTTGAGCGTTGTTGAGTCCTGGACTCGGTGACTTAAACTCACACTGGGCGCATGTGCGTGCGTGCCCTAGATCCCGAGAGGAGAATAGAGAAGGGATTGCAGCGTGGCCATCCCTCCTGGGGGTGATTTCTCACTTTCTGTCACTCTGTCTCTCTGTGTCTTTCTGGTGAGCACATGCACCCTATAGCAAAAACCTCTAAAAAATAATAATAATAAAAAAGAGATACTGATTCAGGATTTATTATCTGTTAGCAATAACTTTCAGATGTTAATTTTTTTTTTTGTTTTGAGAGATTTTCACTGTAGGGCGCGTGCGCTCGCCAGACAGACAGTGAGAGACATAGAGACAGAAAGCGAGAAATCACCCCCCAGGGGGGATGGTCATGCCGCAATCCCTTCTCCTCCATTCTCCTCTCGGGATCTTGGGCACGCACGCACACGCGCCCGGCGTGAGTTTTAAGCCACCGGGTCCGGGACACGAACCGCGGTCAACTACGTGGGAGTCCAGCGATATAGCCATTACGCCAACTGCTGGTTCCCCAGATGTTAATTTTTTAAAAGAGATTTTTACTATAGGTCATGTGAAACAGAAAGCAAGAAATCATCCCCAATGGGGGATGGCCATGCTACAATCCCTTTCCCTCCATGCTCCTCTTGGGATTTTGGGCACACACACACATGTGCCTGGCATGAGTTTTAAGCCATAGTCAAGTTTATGGGCGTCTAGTGAGGCAACCATTACGTCATCTGTGGGTCCGCAGATGTTGAATTTCACTTTTTTCTTTCCCACTTTTTTTTTCCCCCCCGAGAAGTTTTTGCTACAGGGCACATGCGCTCACCAGAGAGACAGAGAGAGGCAGAGAGACAGAAAGCGAGAACTTATCCCCCAGGGGGGATGGCGACACCGCAATCCCTTCTCCTCCATTCTCCTCCTTTATATGCAGAAAGTATGCCAAGATTTATTTATTTTAATTTTAAGCCACTTCCCATAATTGTCTCCATCATAATGCACCAACCCTTAGGCCAAAAATAACGACTGTGTTAAAATTGTTAAGTGTATATAGTAAAAGACAACTGACTTCCTTCCCCAAGGCAGAAAGTTATCTTTAAGGGTTCTTCAAAAGGGAACATGCTAATATTCTAGATCTTAGTGTCTACAGAGACACATGTATCATAAAAATCTAAATATTCTAATACCTTAAGATTAGTGTACTTTACCCATTAAAACAAAACTTAATGAGAAAAAAAAAGATTAGTGTACTTTATGTACTTTGCACATATTTGGTGTTTTTTCTGTTTTGTTTTGTTTTGTTTTGCCATAGGGTATGTGTGCTTGCCAGAGTGGAGAGAGACAGAGAGAAGGAAAGTGAAAAATCACCCCTTAGGGAGGATGACCACACTACAATCCTTTCTCTTCCATTCTCTTCTCAGGACTTTGGGCACGCATGCACACACAACTGGCATGATTTTCAAGCTTCTGAGTCCAGGACTGAAACCATGGATAGCCATGTGGGAATCTAGCTGCCTTAACCATCACACCACTTGTTGGTCCCACTATACATATTTTATAACTCAGTAAAAAAGAGTAAGGAGAGGGGATTATTTAAAACTCGCTGATATCACTTAAAGATAGTCCCCTGGCAGAAGCACAAGAGAGGAGAAGCCCAAGGCTCAGGTTAAATGAGAAAGCTGTAGATTAAAAAGGTAGTAAGTTGGGACCAACAGATGGCATAATGGCTATGTCACTGGACTCCTATGTAGCCGACCACAGTTCAAGTCCCAGACCCAGTGACTTAAACTCATGCCGGGCGTGTGTGTATGCATGCCCAAGATCCCGAGAAGAGAATGGAAGAGAAGGGATTGCGGTGTGGCCATCCCCCATGGGGGGTGATTTCTTGCTTTCTGGCTCTCTGCCTCTCTCTGTCTTTCTGGAGAGCGCACGCACCCTATAGCAAAAAAACTCTCAAAAAAAAAAAAAAAAAGGTAGTAAATAAAGAGAACATAATTATCATTGATCTTTAGTAAAGTTATAAACCACAGCGAGCTAGGAAGCCCCTAAGTGGACATGGCCCATGAGAAGAAATGGTTTCTTCCTGTGAGACGTCTCACCTTCAGGGGTTCATAAGCAGCGAATGTGGCACTGCTCTCCAAGTATTCTTCATATTCAGTCACACTCACTGTTACCAGAGTATGGCCCAGAGATTTGGCGGCGATATGTGTGCTAGAACAGTGTGTTGGTCCAGGCCTTTGAATACCTGAAACAAAAAATATAACTTTAGTAGGTTAATAGGCAGATAATTCTCAAAAAAATTAGGCTACAGAAACCTAAGAATTTTTAAAAATTATTTATTTAATTTTAAAATTTATCATTATTGGGGCTGGGGTGGTGTGGTGGTTAAGGGCACTAGACTCCCACATGGCCAACTGCAGTTCAAGTCCCAGACCTGGTGGTTTACTTTCTCACTCTCTCTCTCTCCCCTCTCTCTTTCTCTGGCAAAGTTCATGCAAAATAATAAGTAAATAAATAAAGTTAACAACAAAAAATCATTATTATTATTATTATTATTTTAAATTTGCTACAGGGCATGCACACTCACCAGAAAAAGACAGAGAGAGAGAGAAAATGAGAAAGCAAGTCGCCAGGTCTAGGACTCAAAATGCGGTTGGTCAAGTGGGAGTCCAGTCCCCACCCACCATGCCACCTGCTGGATCCTATAAGAATTTTTTTTAAAGAATTATTTTTATTTAAATTTTATTTATTATTAATATCTTTCATTTGACACAGAGAGAAAGAGAATGTGAGAAAGCAAGTTGCCAGATCTGGGACTCCCACCAGGTTGGGTCAGCCATGTGGGAGTATAGTGTTCTTAACCACCATGTCCCCATGAGAATCTTTTGGTTTTTGGAGAGGTTTTTGCTATAGGGCACGTGCACTCACCAGAAATACAGAGACAGAGAGACAGAAAGTGAGAAATCACCCCCCCCCAGGGGGATGGCCACGCCGCAATCCCTTCTACTTCAGTCTCCTCTCAGGATCTTGGGCACGCACGCACACACGCCTGGCATGTTTAAGCCACCTGTTTAAGCCACTGGGTCCGGGACTTGAACCACAGTTGACTACATGGGAGTCCAGCGACATAGCCATTACACCAACTGTTGGTCCCCCCATGAGAATCTTAACATGTGGCAGGTGGTATAGCAGTTACGTCACTGGACTCCCACATGGCTGACTGTGGTTTGAGTCC